GGGTATGAAAGGGGAGAGACAGAGGTGGAAAGAAAGTGTTTCGCGTTTGGAAACTGTGTGTGTGTGTGCCAGTGTTGTTCTCTCAGGGCCATTCTGACCTCTCTCTGCTCTTCTGGCCATGAAGGTCTTCAGCGATGACGCACACACGGCATGTAACGGCATCACTGATGAGACACACATACACACACGGAGAACGCTGCCTGCATTGCTGATAAGGTGCATTACAGTCGACACACCGACACAGCACTACCTTGAACTCGAATTCGCACTTGCTGAAACCACACAAACAGCCCATAAATCCCCATAGCAAATAACAGAGGACAGAGACAGACCCCCACCCACCCGCCACACACACAGACACGCACGCGCACACACACACAGGGGGAGAGGTGAGCTGCTATGGTGTGCTTATTAAATCAGTCCTATATCAGCCAGTCTCCTTGGGACAGCAGAAAAGATTTACTACAGCAATTACACTGGCTAATTACAAGGAGGAGAGATAGAGGGAGTGAGAGAGAGCTACAGAGTGTAAAGGAGAGAAGGAAATCAAATCAAAAGAAGCGAGAGCAAATAAAGGGGTGAAAACTGAGACGATGAGAGAGCAAATAAAGGGAAGAGAGATAGCGAGAAGTTGGACAAAGACAATGAGGATGTGACCTTGAGCCAGCCACAACACCTGCGCCTTGAATGAAGTACATAGAGACAACAGAAAAACACAAAAGGTTCAGTGTTCAAACTCACAAACCAGCTTTGTGTGTGTGTGTTTGTGTATGTGTGTGTGTGCATGACTGAGTGACTAACTGAGTGACTCACTGAGTATGTAAGTAGTTTTTCTGTGGTACTCTGGTAGTCTGTGTGGTGCTTTGGTGTTTGTTATTCACAGTGTGAATGTCCTTGACGCTGAACTGGCCTTCACAGCACAGTGCTCCCTCTACGGGGAGGAGAGTGAATTACATCATTAAGCAGGCTCGCTCACTGTTACGCTGGGTATCAATCAACCCTCATCCTTGTTCCTAGTGCTGTGGATGGACATGCAGTAACATTTGAGACACTTAACATACTGTGTGTGTGTGTGTGAGAGAGACTGACAGAGGAGGTTAGAGTTCATACAGACAGCTATCTGAGAAGGTCTGTCTCATATTCAAATACAGCCTTTAAGATAAGCAATTGGGAACTGCTAATAAACTTGATACTTCATCATTCCCATTAGGGAAATACAGTTTGCAAGCTCTTGGTTGTGCAGTTGAATATTACTCTCTATGTACAGTGGCCGCTGCCAGCCAAATGTTCTGACATTACCCTGCATGTGAAGTGTACTGTCCATCCTGACAGCTTCTATGACATATGCACAACCATGCAGAAAGTCTCATTTACATGAGCACAGAGGTAGAAATGAAAACTTATAAATTGGGTTTCTATCTCAATTAAAAAGTTAGATGAACTGTAACCCACATGCACCCCATGAGGCACATTTTGCCCTGGGCAAAAAGGATTAGGTGCTGCGCTCCTGCCAGCCCTCAAATATTCATTATTACCTTAAGGAAAGATAGCAGACAGAGAGCAAATGGGAGCAAGAAGGAGCCAGAATAAGGGAGAGTGCAAAAAAATGAGCATGAGTAAGTGATAGAGAAGCACTTTATGAATACAAGCAATTCTGACTTATGCAAAGCAAAATAGATGAAAGGAGGACAGAGAGAAATGGAGGTCTACACGGTGTCATGCCATGGAGGACCGTTAAAAGCTCATCGCAGGGCTGGAGCACACACTCATCCTCTGTTAATCCCTCAGTTTCTGTCCTCTCGTCTCCAACCATCCATCCCTTCACTCGTCTTTATCTCTGCTTCAGTGATGAGGACAAAGGAAAGCACTCACTCATTTGCTCCCTCCCCTCCCAGTCCCCCCACCCTTCTTTCTCCTTCTCTTGGTCTCTTCAGGCAAGGCTCGCAGGCCTGATTAGCAATTGTGACTTGACCGCATGGTGGAAAGATTGGCACACATGCACAAACACACACAGGAGCATGTACACACACATATGTGGCAAAGAGGAGGACAAGGACCAGTTTTGCTAGGTCTAATTACCCCTTGAGCAAAGCCCAGAGACAACGAGGGGGCTGGAGAGGAGGAGGGAGTTTTGCCTTTTCTAATGTCAGCCATCGCTCGCAGGACACACACATACACTTGAAAAAGTGTGTCTGACTGGAGGCAAAAATATTGGGCTGTTTGCTGGTGCTTGTCACAACGGTTTTTCTCAGCCAACTTGTTAATACGACCAAGCCAAGGAAACTAGAGAGGAGAGGAAAAAAGAAAAAGGGAAAAAGAGATATGTTGAGAGCAATGCTGGAGGAAAGATAAAAGGGATGAGTAACAAAGTGGAGCAATTGCAAGTGGAGGCAGTATTGTGGGGAAGACACTGTGGAGCAAAAAGGATGAGATAAGAATGAGGAGAAAGACAAGTGTGAACAGGCAACAGAGTAAGAAAGAAAGAGAAGGGAAATGAGATTTCAATTCCAGAAAGACTCGGTTATGATGATTAACACCGTCATCTCCACATACACACATGCATACATACATACATGCACTAAATTCTAGTATGTATGCATTTTATTTACAGCTTTGAATCAATGGAAAACCAGCAAGTATAATGATCCTAGAATCCATACTACTGAGAACACAGTGAACATTTTTCATTTGTGTATGTGAACCTTTGTCTTTGTTGCAAATGCTTTGGGAGAACTACTGCAGGTGTTTGAAATACATCAATAACACTGGATCATAGTCAAACTAAGTAGCTGCAGGGGATGACAACCATGATCTGGAACCCTCCACCTCTACGTGGGAACCTGGGGAAAACTCTCTCTCATCCAAGATCCATTGGGGGTGCTGCAGGATTTCCAGTTTGTGAAATCAGTTTCCCCCCCTCCCCATGAGAGAAAATAATCCCCCAACCCCCCAAAAATAAACTAAACAAGAGAAATAGATATTTAAACAAAGAGACAGACGTGCAAATCCTCTCCTAGAACATCTGTCTGCTGGCCTCTCTCTGGAATTGGCTGTAGCTGGGGCTAGACAAAAAGACACACATGCATGCACACAAAGACACAAACAAAAACACAAATTCAGAGGTACACACCTAATCCCACCATGTGCTTAGTGAGCCATCAGGGGACGTGTTGCCAATCAGACAGCTATGTGAGGTTGGGCGAATGAAAACAATCAAGGAACAACACACAATATAGCTACGAGACTGGCACGTGTTTCTGTGACTGACGGCGTGTATGTGTGTGTGTGTGTGCCTGTGTGATTGAGTACACAGATTCATACGCACATAATGCCATCCGGAGACCAGCCTATGTGCTTAATGCATTCCTAGAGTGAGTGTGTGGAGAGATTTTCTGGGTCTTCTGTAACTAAAAATTATTAATGGTAAGGCATATTCAGGAAAATAATCAATATTTTAAGATTCACTGCTCATACATCCTGTGCATGTATCTTTGGATGAAAGCGTCTGCAAAATAAATGTAATGTAAGGATCACCTTTTGCACTGAAGAGCTACTTCCAAGTAGTTCAACCTGCAGGCTGAGCTGGATGTGACTTGTTTTTCTTTTATTATTAAAAACAATGAGACAGTACTCAATGCAATGTTATGTTTAGCCAAAACCCCAACAATAAGAGAAGTTGTAAAATCCCAGAATTTGCCTTTCAGGTTGGACAGCAAGTCAATAAAATCTCTCACACAAGACTG